GTTGCATTTTCATTTTGTTGATTGTACCTCTTTATTAATAATCTTGAAAAGAAATTCGTAATACAACCTATTTTTTAAAATTACGTAATGATCTAATGAACGGATAGAGAGAGGAGAGTGGCAGCCAGGTAAGGGCACACACATTAAAGTCCACTCTACATTCTCATCTTCCTATCACTGTAAACCACCACGCCCAGGCTTCGTTCATAACCACTGCGCACCCTCACCTTCCCGTCACTGTAGACCACCAAGCCCAGGCTTCGTTCATAACCACTGCGCACCCTCACCTTCCCGTCACTGTAGACCACCATGCCCAGGCTTCGTTCATAACCACTGTGCCAACCAGGCACAGTCATAGCTACTCCCCAGGCTTCAGCCAAAATGTGGAGTCCAGATTCTCTTTGAAGAGCACACATGTTGATAAATTTGCACTAACCTACAACTCATTCTTGGCTTTATATTCTCATAGTCCATTCCTGCATGTATTTCCCCCAACCCTGCATTTTTTTTTTTCTTGAGACGGAGTTTAGCTCTGTTGCCCAGGCTGAAGTGCAGTGGCACAATCTCACCACAGGCTCAGCGGTCTGTGGGGTCAGAGAAGGCCTGGAGCAGGCAGCGCAAGGACATAGAGACGCAGAGATGCAGAGATACACCTCTGTGCCACTGCAGTTAAAGGTGGGCTGAGGGCATCAGTCAAGACACCAACTCCTGCACCCCTCAGGTCTACTCGGCTACCACACTGAGCCTACTCTGTCACAATTCTTCAAGGTAAAGGCTAGTTACAACTCCTATAAATGCCTTCATACAAGAGGCTTAGCAGAACACATACAGCTTCTCCCAAGTAACACATCTTCAGCACCCACCTCCTCCTTGACCTCACCCTTACCAGCATTCCAGCATTCCAGCTTGCCTGAATGGCTTTCCTGGGGACACTGCCCAGACTTCCACCCTGAGGGGTCTGAGCCCTTTGAGGCTATGGTGGCTGAAAAGACCTTTTCATTGTCATTAGTTGGCATGGAAGCACCAAGAGAGACCCAGATGAATCCTCTAAGTACCAGACCAATTCCTGCTTGCCCGCTACATCCTCACTATTTATCAGGATCAAGTATCCCCTCCTTTGGGGCCTGCTGGTCCACCAGCATGAGGAGCTGACAGTAACCTGGTGGTTGTGCAGATTCATGCTCAGTGGAGGTATCCTTCCGGCAACCAGTAGGAGTGCCCTCGTGGAAGCATTCCCTACCTGGGAAAAAGGCTCTAATCCAGCAGATCCTAAGGCTGTGGAGACCAAATGTACAAATTCTACGTGTGAGAATCATCACTGGGAACGATGGTGAGAAGTAGCTAACCCCAACCCTTGGGTTCTTGGACCGGTGTCTTTGTTCTTGGATCCACATTATGTTTCTCCTGGGGGCAGAGCACCATATATTAGGCTTTGATTCAGTGTATATATCCCAGCTCCTCAGGATACTGTCCAGGACCTCAGCTAAGCCCTTAAGAAGTCATTCCATCTTTTCCAATCTCCTAGCTGCTTTTACGTAACGCAGGATATTCGGATATTGGAGAAGCAGCGGATCCCATGGCAATCCATACACTACCATGCCTCTTTCACTATAAAATGGCTTTCCTGGCCTGAGGCAATGTTATCCATGATCCCACATTGGTACATGGAGCATGCTTGAAGCTCCTGGATAGTGATGCTGGCCTGGGACACAGTGAATACAGAAGACAAACTCATATCCAGAGGGGCATCAACTCCAGCAAGGATGAATGGCTGTAACCAGTTTGCCACTAAGTAACAAGTTGGTGTGCTCTAGGGATGGAATCTCAGCAGGGGCTCAGCATTGACCTCAGCTGCTAACAGGTCACACTTTCAGCCGGAGTAGTCACGAGACAAGCCTTGGTAAGAGGCCCGTGCTGGTGACAATGACCTGTGCTCCTTCTGCATGATGCGTCCACTGGGCAGGCACAGGGGAAGCCAAGGGCACAGCTGCCCGACATCCATCCCCATCCGTCCTGCTGTTAGCCAAGGGCACAGCTGCCCGACGTCCATCCCCATCCGTCCTGCTGTTAGCCAAGGGCACAGCTGCCCGACGTCCATCCCCAACCGTCCTGCTGTTAGCCAAGGGCACAGCTGCCCAACATCCATCCCCATCTGTCCTGCTGTTCAGTGGCTCCTCCGCAGTGAGTATTAACATGAGGCATAAAGATGCACATCTTCTGGGCCATTCCTGTAGGTCCATCTTCCCCAGACCTCTTTGTCTCCATCTTCCCCTCTTGCTTGTTTCAGGTCCCTGAACAGCCAGCAGGACGTCACAACCCAGAAGTTCATATGCATCCCTCCCTTAGGCTACTACTCTCTCCACTCCCTCCATACAAAGTGGATATTCATATGTACTACTGGAAGCTCAGCCCCATGAAGGATTTCCTATTATCGTCCTTTAGGGTCACCCTAATGGGACTGTAGTGTAGCTGTGATCCATTTTCAGTTCATATTAAAACATCACATGGACCTATATATGAACCAGACTAGAGTTGTTTGTTTGTTGTCTACTAACAGACAAATATCAGTGCAAAGCAGATGTGGGGCCACTGCCACCTCTTCCTGTAAATGACAGTTACCTGCCAGACACACTTGGGTCCAAGGCCAAGGCTACCTTTTTCGTTGTACAATGAATTGCTACTGAGCCTCTGACCTGCTGACTTGGTGGGTCTGACAATACCTGCCTTGGGCAGATTCTGTCGCGGGGTCATCGATGCCCCCAGTCAGGTGCCCGGTCTCTACTTGGGTCTGGTAGTGTGCCTGATACTGTTTTCACCTGGTGAGCTCTCTGCTGCAGAAGGCGTGGTCATCGATGTCCCCAGTCAGGTGCCCGGTCTCTACGTGGGTCTGGTAGTGTGCCTGATACTGTTTTCACCTGGTGAGCTCTCTGCTGCAGAAGGCATGGTCTTGCCCAGGAACTTGAGGAGGGTGCACTGCAATTCTCCCATTGGAGTTTGCCAGAGATGCCATATAGGGTCCTTTCTACCACAAATAAGCCACCCCGCAACCCACTGGATCTAAGTAGCAGGGAAGCCCATCTCCCAATCCAAATCTTTGGCAGAGCCCTCTTTTTCTCTGGGCCCCACTCAAAACTGGCAGTTTTCCCATTACCCAATAAAGGGGTGAGAGTGGTATCCCCTAGTGTGGTGCATGCTGACTCCAAAATTCAGAGATGCATCAATGCTGTGCCTCTTTCTTCCTTACAAGGATGCAAGATGTGTCAGGGTGACCCTAAAGGACCATAACAGGAAACCCTCCAGGGGCTGAGGACAAGGAATAACTTGGCCCTGGCTTGCCCTCAAATGCTGCACCCTGAAAATGTCACTGATATGGCAGGCTCCAGAACTTCTGAGGGCTTCTTGCTCATCCTCTGACATGCACTGTTTGACAAGGCCAGAGCGCTTGTCATTTCCTTCTTCACCATGTCCAATTCGTATGACATCATCAGTGTTACATGGAATATCTACATGATAAGGTACCTAAGGCCTATTGTGACGGAGAACAGGAGAGTTAAAACAGCAAGAAGCAAGACAATTTGTTTAGCTGATCTTCCCATATAAATGTGAACTGCTTTTAATCCTCTTCGCCACTAGGAATTGAGAAGAATGTTCACCAAGTCAATAACTGCATTATTGAGTGCAAGAGGTGCGTTAAACAGTTCCAATAAAGACACCACATCTAGCACAGCTGTGTGATCAGGGATACCACTTGGCTACGTTTGTGCAGGACCTAATTTACCTGTATCCACCTAGATTTAGCAGGAGCCATTCAGGTTAACTGAAGGGATGAAATGGTGACCGCCACTTTATAAGTTTTTGAGGGCGAAATACCTCTGCAATTACACCTGGAATGCAGCATTGTTTCTGACTTACTATCCTGGAAAGGTTTGAGTAGGATGAGGTGTTTCAAAGACTTCCACTTTGATCTTCCTTACCATATGGTACTAAAGGCCTGGAATCAATATATAAGCTCTGCCCTCTGCTAGGTACAAACATCCCAAGTATGCACTGAGACCAGAGAAGTAATCACAGCACTTGGGTCAGGATGCTGCTTATCATTTGATTTCCCTAAGTCTGCACCCTAATGAGAGGGCCATAATGCTCAGGTGCCGTGGTAACAGTGTCAGCTCAGACCCTGTATCTGACAGCCCTTGAGAGATCTAAATAGTCCCTTTTCCAAAGTAAAATAGTTTTTTTGTGTTTTGTTATTGTTCAGTGTCCTGCTGTGTTGCCCAGGCTGGAGTGCAGTGGTGTGAACACAACTCACTGCAGCCTTGAACTCCCAGGCTTAAGTGATCCTCCCACCTAAGCATCCAGAGTAGCTGGAGCCACAGGCACCTGCCCTCACACCCAGTTAATCTCTTAATTTTTTGTAAAGACGGGTTCTTGCTATGTTGCCCAGGCTGATCTCAAACAATCCTCCTATCCCAGCTTCCCAAAGTACAGGGATTACAAGTGTCACCCACTGCCCCAGAAAGAATCAGTTACTTTTTTTTTTTTTTTTTTTGAGACAGAGTCGCACTCTGTCACCCAGGCTGGAGTGCAGTGGCTTGCTGCAACCTTTGCCTCCCGGGTTCAAGCAATTATCACGCCTCAGCCTCCACAGTAGCTGGGATTACGGGCGTGCACTACCATGCCTGGCTAATTTTGTATTTTTAGTGGCGACGGATTTTGCCATGTTGGCCAAGCTCGTCTCGAACTTCTGACCTCAAGTGATCCACCTGCCCTGGCCTCCCAAAATTGTGGGATTACAGGCGTGAGCCATCGCGCCTGGCCATGTTACTTTTTAAAGTGGCTCTAGCTCCCTTTAGGGAAGGATTGGAGGAGTATTTTTTGGTAAATACTTAGATGCTGGTATCGTAAGGTCCTGAGAGGAACCAAGCCTCCTTGTCAATTAAGGGGCTCTAGGTCTCAAAACTGACTCAGATTTGAACAGAATGATGATTTTCCACTGCAGCAAGTGACATTAACCTTGTGATCACCAACTTTTTATTTCTTTCTGGTTATCAAACAATAGTCAGATGCCCCAAAGAACACCATGGTTCGACCAGATCCCCATGCCATCGCCACAGATCCCTGTGGCTCCAGCGTTCCTGGTCGCCACTCCAGCCTGGTGCAGAAGCAGAAACGCAGGAGGCACGCATTTAAATCGGGACGCCCTCAAGGTGAGGTGCGCAGGCCAAGGAGGGGGCTGCTGCAAGCTGCGCGTCTTCACCTTCTGCTCTTGGGTTTGAGTCTGTAATTAGCTACAGGCCTGGAGGGGAGGCGGAGGGGAGGTGGGCCGGTGCAAGAATGGAGGCGCGCGTCTCAAGCAGGACAGCAAAAGCCCCCTCATTCAGAGGTGGCTCCACCGGCCAGGGGGTCCGCGTGTGATTGCGGATTTATGCACCGAGAGTCATCGGAACTGTCCCAAGGGTCTCATTCCTTCAGGAAATGCTTCCTGCGAACCCACAGGGTGCCCGCAGCGCGCCCTCTGCCCGCGGTGTGCGGCCCCACCTAGCGCGCGCCTCCTCTAGGCCTTACCCACGCTCAGGACGGACGCGCGCTGGGCTGCTCTTCCTCATCGGAGCGCCCCGGGGGCGGGGGAAGTGGGCCCGGCCAGGGAGCCCTCGCGCCGGGGCCGCGGCCGCGGCTACCGCCGCCGCCCCTCCGACCCCCACGGAGCCAAAGCGTGGCTCCTACTCACGCCACCGCCCCCGGCCCGCTGCTCGCAAACGCATGCGCTGCTCCGCCACCAGATGCGCCCCTGGCGCCCCGGATTGGCCCAGGCCGTCCAAAAGGCGGCCCCGTCCAGAGAAAGGCCATTGGTCCTTGCCCATGGGGGCGGGGCACAGTGGCGATGTGCGGAATTCGGCCTTCGGGAAGAGCCCCCGGACCAGGGTCACGGAGAGAGCCGAACGCCGCAGCGAAGAGCCGAATAGAGCCGGAGAGACCCGAGTACGACTGGAGAAGCGCAGGCCGGCCGGAAGAGGAGCCGAGCGCGGCCGGAAGGAGCCGAGCCCGTCCGAAAGGAGCGGAGCGAAGCTGGGCGTTGGGCCTGGTCGAGCCCGCGCCATGGCGGCCGACGGGACAGCTGTGGTCGGAGGCGGGGCTGTTGGCGGCTGCCTGGCCAAAGACGGCTTGCAGCAGTCTAAGTGCCCGGACACTGCTCCCAAACGGCGCCGCGCCTCGTCGCTGTCGCGTGACGCCGAGCGCCGAGCCTACCAGTGGTGCCGGGAGTACTTGGGCGGGGCCTGGCGCCGAGTGCAGCCCGAGGAGCTGGGGGTTTACCCCGTGAGGTGGGAGGTCAGGGGTCAGCCTCTCCGGTGCGCGGATCGGGGTCAGGGGTCAGCCGCGGGGCCCTCAGGACGCTCCGCGTTTTCATCGCCCTCTTGCGTCCGCGCCGGGGGCGGGGCCGGGGCCGGGGCCGGCCTGGCCGGGAGGGGGCCGGGGCGGCGGCAGGCGCGGCCGCCCGCGCGCTGAGCGCTCTGCTGTGGGTCTGCAGCGGAGGCCTCAGCAACCTGCTCTTCCGCTGCTCGCTCCCGGACCACCTGCCCAGCGTTGGCGAGGAGCCCCGGGAGGTGCTGCTGCGGCTCTACGGAGCCATCCTGCAGGTGAGGGGTGCGCGCCGCAGCGCCGCCGGCTTGCGGGCCTGTCGCTTACAGCTGCGGGTAGTGGTGTCCCCATTGCGCAGCTGAGGACCCCGAGACTCAGGTCTCTTGCCGCATTACACTGAACGTTGTACTGAAGCCTGGGCCTGTAATCCCAGCGCTTTGGGAGGCTGAGGCGGGAGGATCTCCTGCGCACAGGAGTTCGAGAGCAGCCTGGACAACATCGTGAGACCCCATCTAAATAAAAATAGACCAGGACTAAATCCTGTGCTCCAGGGCCTCCAGGCTATTGGACCAGACGTCCCAGCTCTGGTGGGAGGAAGGCAAGCCCTCATGTGCGTCCCTGTGCCACTTTGCCTCGGCCCCTTTGCCATCCATCTTTTTTCAGGGCGTGGACTCCCTGGTGCTGGAAAGCGTGATGTTCGCCATCCTTGCAGAGCGGTCGCTGGGGCCCCAGCTGTACGGAGTCTTTCCAGAGGGCCGGCTGGAACAGTACATCCCAGTACGAGCCCCACCCACCCTCCCCTCCCCAAGGCACCTCCACCCGCTAACCCTACCCCAGACCTCAACGTCTGCTTTCACATCCTTCCCCCAAAGGGAATCTTCCCCCAAACCCTGACCTCCCCACAGTGCCCCATCCCTTCCCCCTCCTGCCCCAGCCCCATCGCCACCCTGATAGGTTCCTGGGTGCAGAGCCGGCCATTGAAAACTCAAGAGCTTCGAGAGCCAGTGTTGTCAGCAGCCATTGCCACGAAGATGGCACGGTTCCATGGCATGGAGATGCCTTTCACCAAGGAGCCCCACTGGCTATTTGGGACCATGGAGCGGTGAGTCAGGAGCCCCCTCAGGGCTCCTGTACAACTGCACTGAACCTCCATGTCAGTGGTTACCACCCTGGCCTGTGACTAGATGTGTCCATGGCTCTATCCAGCCCTCCACTTGAGTGGGTTCAATGTCCCAGTGTCTAGCATGGTCTCACAGAACACGCTTTGAAATGCTTGCCAGAGGCCACATGCCTCATGCCTGTAATCCCAGGACTTTGGGAGGCTGAGGACAGTGGATTGCCTGAGCTCAGGAGTTAGAGACCAGCTTCAGCAACACGGGGAAACCGTCTCTACTAAAATAGAAAAAATTAACCAGGCATGACTGTGTGCCCCTGCAGTCCCAAGTACTTGGGAGGCTGAGGGAGGGGTATTGCTTGAACCCAGGAGGAGGTTGCAGTAAGCTGAGATCGCGCCACTGCATTCCAGCCTGGGTGACAGAGCAAGACTCTATCTCAAAAAAAAAAAAAGAAAAATGATCGCCAGGCAAGTCACACAGCGATAGGAAAAGGGGCACAGTAGTCTGGCCTGAGGGGAGATAGGGGTGGGAAACAATAGCAGAGCCAGTGTGTCCTGTTCTTTGGGCTTCAGGTACCTAAAACAGATCCAGGATCTGCCCCCAACTGGCCTCCCCGAGATGAACCTGCTAGAGATGTACGGCCTGAAGGATGAGATGGGCAACCTCAGGTGAGGGCAGGCAGGACAAGGCTAGGGAGATGGTGCCATGCACGTAATAGTAATGGTGTCTGCCCTTCCAGTATTTGCTGAGCGCTGGTGTCAGGGCCTGGACTGTTAGTGTGGCTCTGACCCTCCTCTAGTCACTCCTCTCCAGGACCCATGCTCCCATACCCCTGTAGGAAGTTTCTAGAGTCTACCCCGTCACCAGTCGTCTTCTGCCACAATGACATCCAGGAAGGTAGGAGAAGGCATCCGAGTCTTTCAACCCAACATGGAGGAGCCAGAGGGCTCTGGAGTGAGCAGAACCTCACCCCATTCCCCCAGGAAACATCTTGCTGCTCTCAGAGCCAGAAAATGCTGACAGCCTCATGCTGGTGGACTTCGAGTACAGCAGTTACAACTATAGGTGAGGGTGGAAGGGTGGCTTCCCATAGATCTGTTGCCATAGGGTGCTTGAAAACAGGCCAGCTGCCCAGGGCATTTGGGAATTGACTGTCCACCTTATTCTCCCAGGGGCTTTGACATTGGGAACCATTTTTGTGAGTGGGTTTATGATTATACTCATGAGGAATGGCCTTTCTACAAAGCAAGGCCCACAGACTACCCCACTCAAGGACAGCAGGTATGTGGGCCAGAGATGGGAGCAGGAAGGAGGGCGGTGGAGTCTTGGAAGAAATGGCCAGAAAGGATGTCACCTGGGAAATACTCCACAGTCTCCCCAGTTCCTGACTCTTGGCCGTTGATTGTAGCTGCATTTTATTCGCCATTACCTGGCAGAAGCAAAGAAAGGTGAGACCCTCTCCCAAGAGGAGCAGAGAAAACTGGAAGAAGATTTGCTGGTAGAAGTCAATCGGTGAGGAAGGAGGGATGGGGTGGGGCAGGGCAGAGCGGAGGAAAGAGGGACTGGGGAAGAGCTGCAGGTAAGGTGCCTGTGTAGAGCAGGGTTAGGAGAGTGGGGGAGAAGTTAAAACTTTAGGGATTGGCCAGCGTGGGTGAGGGAGTGCCAGACGTGCTCTTGAATGCTCCTCATTTTCCTGCCCTCCCTGAAGGTATGCTCTGGCGTCCCATTTCTTCTGGGGTCTGTGGTCCATTCTCCAAGCATCCATGTCCACCATAGAATTTGGTTACTTGGTAAGTGACCCTGGGGATGGCGATGCTAGCTGAGGGGCTGGAGAGCAGCAGCAGCCACACTCATCCAGGAGACCTGGGAAGTTCTGGGTGGCTGCAGGCGGCCGGAGGTGGGTATGGAATGCTGGTCCTGGCCGAGCGCGGTGGCTCATGCCCGCAATCCCAGCACTTTGGGAGGCCAAGGCAGGCAGATCACACGACAGCAGGAATTCAAGATCAGTCTGGCCAACAAGGCAAAACCCTGTCTCTACTCATAATACAAAAAAATTAGCCAGGCATGGTGGCGGTCGCCTGTAATCCCAGCTACTTGGGAGGCTGAGGCAAGATAATTGCTTGAACCCAGGAGGCAGAGGTTGTGATGAGCTGAGATCATGCCATTGCACTCCCACCTGGGCAACAGAGCGGGACTCTGTCTCAAAATAAGGAAAGAAAGAATGCTGGTCCTACACATTCTCACCACCCTAGGACTATGCCCAGTCTCGGTTCCAGTTCTACTTCCAGCAGAAGAGGCAGCTGACCAGCGTCCACTCCTCATCCTGACTCTCCACCCTCCCACTCCTGGAGCCTCCAGGGCAGGACCTTGGAGGGAGGAGCAACAAGCAGAAGGCCCTCGGGACTGGGCTGAGCCCCCAAGTGACACTGAGGTTCAGGAAACCCACCTCTTGAGTTTGAGTAGGTCCCCATGGCTGGCAGGCCAGAGTCCCGACCTGTGTATGTAACACAATAAACAAGCTTCTTCCTTCACACCCTGTCCTGGCACTGCTGAGCAGCAGTAGAAAGTACCGAGCCAAGCAGCACACACAAAGGGACAGAGTGACCGCTGCAGTCTTCGGTATTCTTGGCTTGAAAGTGGTTGAGGGTTCATGAGGCCGATTGGGGTCCCCCATTGCTCCCCACTCTTCTGGCTCTTGGGAGGAGGACCGGAGAGTGATGGGGGTGAAGGCAACCCTGAGGTAGGGGCTGCCCGGAGCACCAGCGATTTAAAAACAGGCAGCAGCTGACACATTGGTGACCTTTTCCCTACATTTGGCTATTTTTAGCTCTAATGCCACCATCCTCACGAGACTCTCTGGGGCCCCCCAGGCTCCCAGACCTTTGAGCAACCCTCATCGCGCAGAAACACTGCCCCGCCCTGCAATTCCCACCGCGGAAGGTGGGTGGGTTCTGGTTCCCGGTCCCGCGTTTTACCCCGACCCGGATTTGGGGGTAGGTGTCAGGTTCCTGGGGAGGGCGGGGCGGGGGTGGCTAGGTCTGAAGGACGTGGGGACACGGGCCAGAGTGGCTAGCCCCATGCACGGACAGGAGTGAACCCGAGCCGTGAGTAGGGGGCACAGGGGCGAGGACGGCGCTGGAGCCACGCGGTCGGGGGGTAAAGGGGGGCGCCGGAACCCTGCCTCTGTCCAGGCCGACTCCGCTTCCAGGGGCGCCTCTTCTCCCCTGCCCGCGCCCTCGCTGACGCCCCCTACTCCAGCCTGCCCTTCACCGTCCTTGGGGTTCCTGGAGCTTTCAAGGCCCAAAGCTCTGCACCACAGTGGCTGTGCCCACCGGAAGGCTGGCGCGAGGATTTGGCGGCGGTTGGCCTGGCGGGGGGCGCGGGCCGGGGACAGCCGCTAGTCGCGGGGTGGGGGTGAGGGGTATCGCGGACTGGCTGAAGGGGGGGGTGCCTTGGCGCGGCTGGGGGCGGGGCCGGCCTGAGCGCGCCCGCGCACCCACCTGCTCCCGTCCCAGGTGCCGACCAACCCCCAGGATGGCGGAAGCGCACCAGGCCGTGGCCTTCCAGTTCACGGTGACCCCAGAAGGGGTCGACTTCCGGCTCAGTCGGGAGGCCCTGAAACACATCTATCTGTCTGGGATCAACTCCTGGAAGAAACGCCTTATCCGCCTCAAGGTGCGCACAGGTGCTTCTCCCAGCCTCTTCCTCTCAGCAGGTGCAGAAGGGAGCTCTTGGAGCGGAGGCAGAGCCCGGGTGTCCGCTGTCAACCTCTCTATTAGGGTCCTTCACTGCCTCCTTGGCTGGCAGTCCTGCCGGGTACAGGTTCTGGAAGTACAGACACCAGAGAGGTGCACAAGATGTGGTGGGACACAGGGAGCTACAGGCGTGGGTGTGGAGGAGGAAGGAGCGCAGCAGGGTGGCAGGAGAGAAAGCCTCCCAGGCCAAGACCAGGAGCCCATTCCCAAGACTTCACAGGCAGGCCAACCTCACGCCCTCCAGCTGCATAAGGGTGCCTGTTTCTGCCCACAGAATGGCATCCTCAGGGGCGTGTACCCTGGCAGCCCCACCAGCTGGCTGGTCGTCGTCATGGCAACAGTGGGTTCCTCCTACTGCAACGTGGACATCTCCTTGGGGCTGGTCGGTTGCATCCAGAGATGCCTCCCTCGGGGGTAAGGAATGAAGCTGGAAGGGCTCAGGTGTCACCAGGGAGGGCTGCGCCCAGCTCCCAAGGCTGAGGTTCCTGAGCTGGGCAGATACAGACAGTAGCCATTGGCAGTCACAGGGAAGCCCTCCCTTATGACAACCATTGTCTTAATCCTATATCAGCTCTTATTTGGTGCAGTCAGACTTAAGTGTGCCCAGGGAGGTTCTTCGCCTTGGTGTCTCCCTGAGACAGTTCACAGCCACCTGAGGCTGGCCTCAAGAGGACCCTCTGCAGCCCTTGCCCCTTCTCCAATAGGTGTGGGCCCTACCAGCCCCCGCAGACCCAGGCACTTCTCAGCATGGCCATCTTCTCCACGGGCGTCTGGGCAACAGGCATCTTCTTCTTCCGCCAAACTCTGAAGCTGCTGCTTTCCTACCATGGGTGGATGTTTGAGATGCATGGCAAGACCAGCCACTTGACCAGGATCTGGGCTGTGAGCAGCCGCCAGTGCAGGGGTTTAGGCACCTGGGCTGAGACTCTTTGGGCTCCTTTGGGGTTCTGACCGAGAGGGGACAGGCAGACAGGGCACTGGTGCCTGGTGTGGGGTTTGTCCTGGAGGGGCTGGGATGGTTCTGAGGCTCTCAGGGGATTGCTGGCTGGTTTCCATTCTTTGCTTGGGCTCCCACCCCAGCGCTCTGCTCTGTACCCCTAGATATGTATCCGCCTTCTATCCAGCCGGCGCCCCATGCTGTACAGCTTCCAGACATCTCTGCCCAAGCTTCCTGTGCCCAGGGTATCAGCCACAGTTCAGCGGGTGAGCACCTCGCTTGGGCATCCCAGTGGGCAAGGGAGGCTGGATTCAGGGGATGTTTCCAAATATAAGGTTCTTTGCAATGAATGGCCTTAAGGGCTTGAGAAAAATGGGTCTGGGTGAGGAGGGAGAGGTGGGAAGAGGATTAAGATAGAGGCAGTCCTCGCCAGCTGGCCCCATGGTAATGATAACTGGCTGGACAGTACCTAGAGTCTGTGCGGCCCTTGTTGGATGATGAGGAATATTTCCGCATGGAGATGCTGGCTAAAGAATTCAAGGAGAAGACTGCCCCCAGGCTGCAGAAATATCTGGTGCTCAAGTCGTGGTGGGCAACTAACTATGTAAGTTTGTGCCCATGGGTTCATTGTCCTGGCTGCCCCCGCCCCGGCTCTAACCTTCCACCTGCCCACAGGTGAGTGACTGGTGGGAAGAGTACATTTACCTTCGCGGCAGGAGCCCTCTCATGGTGAACAGCAACTATTATGTCATGGTATGAACCGGAGGCCCTGGGCCCCTGCACATGCTCAGCTCTGTCCCCACTCCAAGGCAAAGGACCTGGAGGACAGCCCAGAGCTCTGGTAGCAGTTTCCGTGGGGAAGTGGGGGTTAAGGAGTGAGGCCTGAGGGAAAGGGAAGAGGGAGAGGAGATCCTAGAAGAGTCCAGAAGCAGCTTAGGGGTGACGGGGATCCTGAGAATGAGGAGAGTGGAGACCCCCCAGCCTGTCACTGCCACTCTCAGAGTTCCAGGGTCAGTGCCCCTGCCCAGCTCAGGGTCTGTCACCTCTCCCTGGTTTCCTCACTGGCCTCCTGGCCATGGGTTCCTAGCTGTCCTGACACCATAACCAGGGAATTTTCTAGAACATGTCTTGCTTTGTGTCCCTCTGAAGAGCCAGACAGCTGAATGAAGGCCAGGCTCCTTCTCCTAGGGCTCAGGAGGTCACGGTCTGCCCCTGCCCCATGTCACTGGCCCTTCTGAGTCTCTGGGTCTTACAGCCACCTGGGCTGCATGACACTCCTCTTCTCCCCTTTCCCACTGTCCAAAGCACACTTAACTCAGGAGAGTCTACTGGAATTCTTCTCCATAAACTATCCTCCCTGGAACTTACACACAACTTGTCCATACCGGAAGTTTCAAACTGTTTTTTAGTGGTAGAACCCCTTTATCAAAGCAAAATAAGTAGAACACAAGCACATAAAATAGGTTATAAAAGGGCAGCTCAGAGCCAGGCATGGTGGTGTATGCCTCTCGTCCCTGCAACTCAGGAGGCTGAGGCAGGAGGATCACTTACGGCCAGGAATTTGAGGCTGCAATGAGACATGCTTGCCCCGCTGCACTCCAGCCTGGGCGACAGAGCAAGACCCTGACTCTAAAAAATAAAGAATAAAAAATGCAGCTCAGGCTGAAGCTGGAGCAGAGGGTTACTGTGATCAGTCGTGCATTTCTGGAGGTTCACCCCGACAGCACGTGCAGGATGTACTGGAAGAGGGAGACGATAGATTGGTCCTTGGATCTGCAAGATCCACATGACACCCACCCTGTGGGCTCTGCTTTCTCTGTAGGACCTTGTGCTCGTCAGGAATACAGACGTGCAGGCGGCCCGTCTGGGAAACGTCATCCATGCCATGATCATGTATCGCCGTAAACTGGACCGTGAAGAAATCAAGCCTGTGAGTGCATCAGGGTTGAAGGTGGGATGGGAGAGGAGACCTGAGTCTGAGCCATGCTGGGCCTTCCCCTAGGTGATGGCACTGGGCATCGTGCCCATGTGCTCCTACCAGATGGAAAGGATGTTCAACACCACTCGGATCCCAGGCAAGGAGACAGGTAATGGAGCCCGCGTCCTACCTGTGGCCCATCTGGCTCGGTGCTCTCCTACCTGCTCATCACCAAGCATCCCCCGTGTCTCAGGGTCCTCAAACTGTGAACAGTAGTCTATTTGTGGCAGATACTAGACATCTATTATTTGCAGGCATGCTGCTGGTGCTGGGACCCCACAGGACCCAAAGCAGAGCACCCCCAATCCGGGGCTCACTGTGTGCGGAAGGGGGTCCTGCTGCAACCCAAAGCTTAGGACAGGCCTGGTGCTGCCACGGAGCTGGCAGAGGAGGAGAGGAGGGGCACACCCAGGGGTCTGGCAGAGGCAGTAGCCTTCCCTGCTTCTGACACTGTATCCTCAGGCCATGTGCATAACCTCCTAGTGCTTCGGATTCCTCTTCTGTGAAATACTTTATAGGATTTTTGTTGGTGTTATGAGGGGCAGCAGAAGCACCCAGCACGGGTCCTGGTTTAGGACACACAGATCCCATCCAGGGGGCAGGAAGGCCCAGGCAGAGGCCGAGCAAAGCGGGGTCTGCAGGGGCCACCTAGCGCATGGGAGGTAGACCTTTCTCAGGATGTAGCTGGGGCCATGAGCTGCCTCCCACAGCCCACCTCAGCTTGCCCCGGCCTCTGTCACAGATACGCTACAACACCTCTCGGACAGCCGGCACGTGGCTGTCTACCACAAGGGACGCTTCTTCAAGCTGTGGCTTTATGAGGGCTCCCGTCTGCTCCAGCCTCGGGATCTGGAGATGCAG